ACTTCCTTGTCACTGTTTAAACTAGATCCATATTCACAAAGCATCTTAAAGTCACCATGAAACTAAAGTTCATCGTTCATTTTCCTTCACTCTCACTATGGCCAATTTAGTTCATCCAATTCACCAATAGCACATGTGTTTGGACTGTGAGGGAAATCAGAGCACCCGAAGGAAACCCACTCCAACACTGGGAGAACATGCTGTCCCACTTTATATTAAGTGTCCTTAACTACTATGTACTTACATCAAAAAATAAATACAATGTACTTACTGTGTTTATAATGTATTTGAGAACACTTGTGGTGCTTTTGAGTTGGGATAGAGGTTGTGCTATGGACAGGTTTGGAGGAATGGGTCGGTTTAAGGGTGGGTTAAGGTGTAAGGGATGGTCAACAGTGTATTTACAAATGTAGTTACAAAAGTTAATTACAGATGTAATTACATACAGGTATTTAATCAAGCATAAGTACACAGTTAATACATGTATTTACACAATAAGTACATTGTAACAAACTATTAACTTCTGTGTAAGTACATATTAGTTAAGGCCACTTAATATAAAGTGGGACCGAACATGCAAACATGGCACAGCTGGGACTCAAACCAGCGACCTTCTTGCTGTGAGGCGACAGTGCCAACCACTGAGCCACTGTACTGGCCCTATATATTTAATAATACATATAATTTAATACAGCTAGAGAGTGTGAAAGAAGACTTTATCAGGACAGCATTCCTGCAGAGAAGCAATCTGATGAAGTGCTCTTTGGTGGTTTGGTTGGTCTGTGAAGATAAATAATGTGCTCATACACAGAATCAGACACTGCTGCTTTTTATGCAACGCATCTGAGTAATGATACTACTTAGCTCCACTGGACTTTCTCATCTCCAGTTTTCGTTTTCATTGGCTGAAACATCATTCATGCTTGGGCTTCACAATATATCGTTTTAGCATCGATATCGCTATGTGATCATTTGTATTTGTTAACCGCAGAATATGCAATGTTGAGCCTGCCATAATTTATCATGCATGTGTATTTGACGTGTGTGATCACAAATTAATTTTAATATGTGAAGTTTATTTATAAACTAATTTCGAGAGGATCATGTGCATGTGATTGCTTGTAGCCGGTCCAGCATTATTCAATTTAAGATTCTCCAATCAGACGATTCCTAAGCCACTATAAATAACCTAAGTTCCATATAACATATTCATATTGAAGAATCCCGCCTTCCACCCTTACTCCTACTTTCCTGGATGGTTGGCACAGTGGCCCAGTGGTTAGCACTGTTGCCTCACAGCAAGAACGTCACTGGTTCTAGTCCTTATCAAGCCTGTCAACATTTCTGTGCGGAGTTTACACATTCTCTCCGTGCTCACGTGGGTTTCCCCCGGGTTCCCCGGTTTCCTCTCATCGTCCAAAAACATTTAACTTAAGTTAATTGACTAATCTAAATTGACACCATAGACATGTTCCTAGCATGTTCCTAGCATGAGTTGGTTGCTCTATCAAGGAGGATAAAGAGCATGGCCTCTAGCATCTGTCACTAGAACTTTTTAAGGTCAGAGGAGTGAGGTTTACCTGCATAGCACTTCGCTACCTGGCCTCCATTACACTCATCCACCTAAACCTCACTCCCATCCCGGACGAGCCCCCATGTGTAACCCACCGGTCCTACAGCACCCATCCTGTTCTGAGCTGTGATCGAACCAGCGATTATTTGCATGGGAGTCGGTTGCTCTAACAAGGAGGCTAAAGACCATGGCGCTAGAGCACCTTTTGAGGTCAGAGGAGTGAGATTTACCTGTATAACACTTCACTAGCTGGCCTCCGTTACACTCACCCCCCTAAAGCTCACTCCCATCCCGGACGAGCCCCCATATGTATGTATTGATTGATCTTATGCATCCAGGCATATAAAACTGTAACATTTGTAAGTTTAATATTGATTATTTTGATTGAATTATTTTTCATTACTGTACCTAAATACTATTAAAATGTTAAAACACTTTTTATTTATTTTACTTTTTATTTACTTTTTCTTTATTGTATTTCTCTATGCTTGTAAAATGTTTATTAGATTATAGATCCCGATACACTCCCCTACGGAATCATCTCAATCAAATCAAAAATTATTTCCAAATAGAGATATCAAGTCATCTGGAGAAACTTTTATTCATACATTGCAATATGTATCGCAGCACAACATAATATTGCAATGTTGGATTTTTCCAATATCGTGCAGCCCTAATTCATACCATCTCAAACCAGTTGTTCTGGTACAGTTGAGCATGTTTATAATGGACTTAAATGAACCGAACTAAGAATAAAAAGCGGATTCCAAAACAAACACTCCAAATGAGCCAGATGTCAAAATGCCCTTAAACGCAACACAACAATAAGCTACTCCAAAGCAATGCTTATTACATACTCTCAACTCACTAAAAATGCATTATGCGATTGCAATTGCCACTAAAGATGCATGCAATACTGCTTTAGAAATTGCCAACTGCTCCATTTCAGAATCACTTTTGCTCAAGTAGCAGCTGTGATGCCTTTAAAAGGCTTTCTACATAGGCAGGTCGCTATGAACAGAACAGAACGCACAATAGAGGTTGCACTGCATTACCTTGAAGCCATCAGAGATTACTATTTAACTAATAATAAGCAACGCAACAACTTTTTTGCAAATAAATGATAATTGAAAATCCATATAGAACATCAAATACAGAATTTTAAAGGAGTATAGGTGTAAACGCAATGCAAATTATCGCGTGTGCCCAATGCGTAAATGTTAAACTAATGTAAATGTTTATTATTTAGTTGTCATACATTAAGGCAGACAACCTGCGTCAAGTGCAGACATGCTGTACACCATGTTAAAACTATTTTGAACAACATTTTTCTCTGTTAGAATTGTTAAAATCGGTAATAAGTAAGTTTTGACTCTTCCAAAAAATGGAAAATGTTACTACAAAAAAAAAAAATCTAAAAACATCTTAAAATGCACAGTTTGCTTTTGTCTTAAAGGGCACCTATGATGAAAAATCTACTTTTCAAGCTGCTTGGACAGACATGTGTGTAGGTTTAGTGCAGGGCTGGCCAACCCTGTTCCTGGAGAGCCACCTTCCTGCAGATTTCAGTTGCTACCCATATCAAACACACCTGAACCAATTAATTAGGACCTGAACACCACGTGATAATTACAGGCAGGTGTGTTTGATATGGGTTGCAACTGAAATCTGATATAAACACAACCAGTACTTTAAAGCAAAGTGTTTAAAGTATTTATTTATTTTTTTTAATTTAACAACATGAAAACGGTAGACCAATTGGAGGGGTTTTGAGACTGACAGCAATTTGACGAAGGAGTGCGGTCCAGCGGCCAACCAATATTGATTGACAGGCGCGCATTACCACATCCTCAGTTTGTTGTTTCACGTCTGCCATTTTTAGCGTGTGAGTCAAAGCGATGTCACAAAAGAAAGACCCTTGCTCTATTTTTGGATGTAAGACTTTTAGGGCTCTGCACAAGAGCCTTAATCGTGTACCTGCAAATGAGCAACAAAGATTTTACATTTAACGGCCATATGCGCTGAACGCACAGTGAAAATTTCGAGATTTGGGCCATTAAAAACAGCTGATCTACCGAGTCTTTCAGCACTCTCTCTGAAAACACTCGATTGATCTCTGCTGGCGGATCAACTTTCACCACATAATCGCTCTCATCGTCGCTATTGTTTGTAACTTTTGGTGGGTTAACAAACGTGTAGTTTTCATTACGTCTTCCTTAAACTGCCTTTTGCATTTCCTGCGGTCACAAAAGCTCCCTGTCATCTCAACTAGGTGCAGCTGGAAAGTGTGAGCGCATTGCTTTGCGCCCTATGTAGCCTCAGTCAAAGTAAATCCAGTGTGTGTGTGGTTATTAGTCTCAGTGTACAAGCTTGGAACTTTAAACTAGCACACAGTTTACATAACTTTGTTTAGTTGCTGCAGTTTTGCTTTCAGTTTGCATGGTGTTGAGAAGCCTTTACGATTAATCAACGGTGACGAATTAAAGCGCGGTTAATAGTGAAACCAGTTAATCATTACATTACTATACGGATGACGCAAGCATCGTAACATATAGGCAGTAAAACTATACAAAGACACAAATGATTTTGTAACTTCCACTCTGACACATTCTGGCACATTAGGAGTATTGATTCCTCAACAGTACTCTCTGCTTGGTCTGTGTCTGAGTCGTACATGTACGGCTGAATGCTGGTCCTCTCGCTCATGTTGCTTCTCTCTGTCTGCCTGTCTATTGCCATACCCAAAGCAGAGGAGCTCTTGGCTGTGCCCCCTTGCTAAGTTGGGCGGGAAGTTGAAACTAATTTTCATGTGAAGCAACACACCCCTAAAACAACGACCTGTGTACACCCCCCCCCCCCCTACCTGACACTTATAACACATTATAATAAACAAATCTGAATTGTGTCTTGAACTGAACCTAAACTGGCACACACAGAAGAACCATAGTATTAAATCTTTAAAAATGGGGTAAAATAGGTGCTCTTTAAAAGTTAACATCTCTATAGCTCAATGATTCCAACCCTTGTTCTGACATATGATCAAGAAATCACATTTTCCCTGGATTTTCAGTCTCTAAAAGCTGCGTCTAATGCATCAGCTTGAGCTCGGAGCAACAGATCTGCTGGATCTCCTGCGGTGAGATCTGCTCGAAATCTGCAAGGAATCATCCGTTCGGCGGGAAGCTTCATTTCCAGGATTCACACTGAGAAAGAAAGCACAGTGTTTCCTGAAATCTCCTACACCCTTCAGTTTTTGCACATGATTTCATGTTCTTTCGCATTACTAAACTCCAACCGGAGCAAATCAGGTGTTTGGGTTGTCTGCGCTCCTCCGATGTGCCTATGAGAAACTCCTGCTGTGAACAACCTGAGGTGAGGAGTCTAACAAACAAAACCACAGACTTTCAAAGAAGCAGACTGTACTCACCGATAAACATGCTCTCCATGGTCATCACACGTCCAAATCGGTGGTGTCCAGATCTCCATGCACCGCTGCTGTCAAGAGGGAATCCATGATCTGTGCATGTGGAGAGATCTGCGACCACGAAAGCTGGAAAAACTCGCTAGTTTTTGGGTTTGGAGATCCCACTTGAGAGAAAGTGTCAGTCTTGGGCTGTTTCTCAGGGAGCGGGGATCCTCTCCGGCTGTAATCTGAGCTCTCGCCGGCGTGCCGATATCAGCGTCTGTAGCGGAGCAGAGCCACGGCTGCTCATTTGTTCTGTCTGAGTGTTTCCTCTGGCACTGCTCGCTTTCTCTCTCTCGCTCGCTCTCTTATCTCTCGCTCACTCGCTCGCCCGTCCAGCACCTCCCAGCTTCATCTATCATTTTCTCTCTCTCTCTTTTGCTCTTTTAACTGGTCACGTCCTGAAATATGATTTATAAACAACAAAAAATACATATATTTCTGGTTAGTTGTATTAATTTATGTAGTAAATAAATTTTAGTAAGTGTTTCATTCATTAAGTTTCCTTTGGCTTAGTCCCTTAATTATCAGGGGTCACCACAGCGGAATGAACCGCCAACTGTTCCAGCATATTTTGCAGCGGATGACCTCTCAACCACAACCCAGTTCCGGGAAACACCCATACACTCTAACATTCACACACACTCATACACTAACCAATTTAGTTCATCCTATTTACCCATAGCGCATGTGTTTGGACTGTAGGGGAAAGTGGAGCACCCGGAGGAAACCCACGCCAACACAGGGAGAACATGCAAACTCCACACAGAAACGCCAACCAGCCCAGCCGAGACTCAAACCAGCAACCTTCTTACAGTGAGGTGACAGTGCTGACCATTGAGCCACCGTGCCGCCCGATGTATAAAAATGAGTGCAGTTAATTTTGGAGGTTATTTTATATAACAAAATTTTGTCTATTTTATATAAAGAAATAAACATGATGATGATGATTGGGCCACATAATATGAAAAGCTAATTTTTGTAACCATGTGACACTGACAACAGAGGTGCGGATCCCCATGCAGGTTTATTAGATTGGTCAGGCAAGCAGTGGTCAATGCAGGAGCAACCCATATGAGGGCAATCCAGAGTTGTAGTCAATTAACATGCAGATGCTCACAAAGCAGGCAGCAAACAGGATTAAACAAATAAACAAGGCAAAGGATCAAAACACTGCAAAGGCAAAGGAAACGCGTTGTAGTGTCACTATTGCAAACAACAAGACTCAGCAACAGAGAGTGTTTCTGTGCTTCTTAATTAGTGCAGTAATCAGTCCAAAAGCAGCATCAGCTGTGAGAGTCTAATCAGTGGAGCAGGTGTGTGTGTGGCATGACTGAATATGTAGTCCATAAATGGCTGATTTGTAGTCCTTTAGCGATCCGCAGCTACTAGATCGCTACTAGAGCTACTAGATGCGCACACACACACAGACAGACAGAGTGCGAGCGGATAGTGGAGGTGAAGAAGGCAAGACACGAACCCACTGATTCCTGTTTAGGAACTACAGTCAGTTAGGATGAACAGGTCGCGATGGACTTTCAAAGTCACAGTCTTCAGCTCCGGTGTGGGAACATTTTGGCTTAAAGCTGAATGAAAAAGGAGAGCCCGTTAATGTGAACGATCTGATTTGTCGAATTTGTTTCAGAACAGTGGCAATGAAAAAAGGCAACACAACTAACCTTAAATCCCACCTAAAACAGAACCACCCTACTCATTTTTTTCAACATAGGAACAACAATCGCAGTTGGTATTGGAGAGGGGTCTTCCAGACAGTTAACTGTAATGGGTGTATTTACCTGCCGGTGCAAATATAAATGTGACAGCGTTAAATGGCACACACTCACAGACAGGTAACATTATTTAGCTAAAGACATGCAGCCGTTAAAACACGCTAGAAAAACACAGCATTAAAAAATGCTGCAAACCTTTAACAAATAGTCCTGTCCTAGAATTTGCCTGATTATTTAAAAAATGGCGCCTGAGATGCCTTAAAAGTTTGACTTACACTTTTTTTTGTTTAAATATACTATTTATTATTACATATTTGTTTTACGATATTTTTTCATGTTTCAATTTCAAACGTGTAAATAATCTTTGAAGCAGTGTACCTGAATTATTGAACTATTATGTTTTAAAAATGTAAGATTTTGTCGGCGCCAGTGGTGTAGTGGTTAGTGTGTCGACACATGAACTCCGGTGCTCGCGGCGACCCGGGTTCGATTCCGCCTTGCGGTCCTATGCCGATCCTTCCCCTCTTTCTGCTTTCCTGTCAATTCTCTCTACTGTCATATCAAAAATAAAGGTGAAAACCCCGAAAAAATAATTATAAAAAAAAAGAAAGTAATATTTTATGTTAGTGATAAGTTATGAAGTGACAATAATATCGTTTATCGCAATTCATTTGGCTGCAATATATCACCCAGCAAAAAAAAAAAACTAGATATCATGACAGGACTAGTTGCAAACATTGAAATATGCCATGAATATTGATAATGATAATTCCTTACCTCTATATAGCACTTTTCTGGGCACTCAAAGCGCCTCCTCATCCACCTGGATGACGCAACAACAGCCATATTGTGCCAGACCGCACACGACACACTAGCTGATTGGTGGAGAGGAGACAGAGTGATGAAACCAATTATGATATGGCCATGATGGACAGAGGCCAGTGGACAAATTTGGCCAGGATGCCAAGATAAACCCCTACTCTTTTTAAAAGGACATCCTGAGATTTTTAAGGACAAAGATTCAGGACCTCGATTTAACGTCTCATCCGAAATATGGTGCTCACTGAGCAGTATAGAGTAGGGATGGGGAGTCGACTCCAAAAAAAGTCTATTCCTCAACTCTTAATGGACTAAGAACCGGAGTCGACTCCTAGAGTAGAGTCTGTTTTTTTAAATCCTCCTGAATGAAGCAGTTACATGCTCCAGTTATAATGCTTATTCTTGAGTTTGATGAACATCGAAGGTGCCCGCTTTGAGTGCGTGATCACACTATTTATGCTTTTGTTTTTGAATTTCGCAACCACGAGTAGTCTAGGCTAGTGCTGCGAAATAAAGTTTGCTTTAATTTTTTAATTCCTATAAAGCACGTCCACCTTTTGCATTTTGATTTGGATCTGCCTGCGATGTCAAGCTTGCTGTGTTATAAATGAAATCTAGTTGTATATGTGTGTGTGTGTGTGTGAATTTGGAGCAGATAGGATACTATTGGAGGATTGATGACTTAAATTAGCACTGTAGGTAAAATTATGATGTTATGTTAGACATTGGCTGCTGCTATATGCTCAATTGAAATATTTATTTAACCTACGCATACTTCATGAATAAATAAATAAATAAACAAAACACTTATAATAATGACAAAAGTCGCCAAGATTAATTTATTGTCACAAAATATGACAATACATGTGGTCGTGGTTTTGTTTTGGCCCTGAACACTTAATTTCACCTCTAGTTCTTTCTTCTGTTTATTTTAATAGCTACACAAATACATCAGAATTATACCAAACGAAATTTATTTCCAAAAAAGGATTTTTAAATAAAAATATAGCCGAGGTTAAAGTACACTTTATAGAATAATCACATAGAGAGTGAGAGCAATATGATATGCTTTGATGCACATCTGTCACTCTGCTTTTATTTATTATTTTAGGTTTGTTAATGTATGAATTATTGAAGTTAAATATGTAGTGTATGGGGTTTAATATTTAATTGGTCATTAAATCAAATGAAAAAGCTAGCTATTTTGTTTCGTCAAAAAATAAAGAAATGAACAACCGCAGAATTTTTTGTTCTCTCGGTAAAGTATTCAAGCATCAAACATTTATATTAAGAGGATATTTTGACTATTTAATTTTTTTTTTAAAGTTGTTTGGGCTCAATTGGGATGTTTTTATCTGTTAATAAACTTCTACTCATCTTTCCATTAAACATTTCAATAACAAACTGATGTTTTAACTTTATGTCTCCAAGATTACAGTGTAATTTTCTAAGTTATTTAAACTAGACAATTAAAATATGCAGTAAAAAAGTGTAGGTTGAAACATATTTTGTTTTCGCTGGAAATGATTTTCTGCTGTTTTTTTCTGACCAGGGAGCTGCACAATGTTGCAATTGACGCAGTAGCATTGTGTAAAGCACGATATGAGACAGCATCTTTAATCCTTGCGCTATTTTAAATGAATGCAAATGGAGTCGAAAATCTAGAGTCGAGAATCGGAGTCGACTCAGAACCCAACACCCCTACTATAGAGTGCCCGTCACTATACTGGGGCATTAGGACCCACATAGACCGCAGATTGGGTGCCCACTGCTGACCTCACTAGCACCACTTATGGCAGCAACCTAGCTTTCCCATGTGGTCTCCAATCCAGGTACTGATCGGGCGCAGTCCTGCTTAGCTTCAGTGGGCGACCACGTGAGCTTTGCAGAGAGCTAGCTGCCGGCTAAAGATTGAGAATATTCGTTGTAACACTGGATTTGGGAAATTCCAAATAAACAAACTATGTTTGTAATGACAAAACCTGAGAACTTAGTTGGCTAACATTGTTTTTTAAAATGCACCCTGATTATTTCTTAAAGTGTGACATGTTGATTTTACAAGTAGTGTCACCAGTCAAGTCGAACAACCAGACCGTACAATGTCTGCGCACGAGTTGTTCAGCTTTACATCGCATGAAATCCTCCCATACAGTGAGGTGGTACATCGCTGAAATCACATTGAAATCGCACAGTGTATTCCTCAGACTTAGTGCTTATACAGTAAGTGATGTTTTATAAACAAATTTCGGGAGGAGCACGATCAGTATTTGACAAGGTTAATTCATCACACACACAATCAATTCTATTATCCAATCAGCTCAAGAGCTAACCCCTATAAATAGTCAAACACGTCACACCTCCGTTTTCTGTCGACTTCAGCATCCCTCCACCACCTTAACTCCACAATATTAAACCAGATACCTATTTAAATCGGAGGGGGGAGCGTTCTGGAGCTTGGCTAGTAACATATCGCTCTTTATCCTGATAAGGAAAATAACACAAGGTAGGGCGTCTTCCCGAGCTCAGAGCTCTCTCCCCTCACAGCACGCCAAATATCTGTAAGCGCAAACTCGTGAATAGCATTCTGGTTGCTTGTTAGGGAGTTGCTAGCTTGTTCTATCTTGTTGCCAGGATGTTTTAGATTGGGATGTTCCATTAGTGTTAATTTTTAGCTTTACGTAAAGTCTATAAATCATTCTTAAACTTAAATGCAGACTATATAAGCTTGTGAAGGTGAATGTAAAGAACCAAGAAAACCTTTGAGCGCTTCAGCTTAAGATCTTGAGAGAATATGTCATTGCAGACACAAAAACACGCACACATACACTTGACCTTGTTTCCTCTCTTGGCACT